ATCATAATGTAACAAGTAATAAGTATTTATATCAGTTCTCTCCCAACTCATACAATACATGATGACAACTCTTTCTTTCATAACTCAATTAGGCATTAAAGTGCACAAAAACACAAGAAACTCTTTTTGATATTTTTATGTTTAAGAAAATATAACATAAAGTATTTACAATTTCTTAAGAATAAAGTTCATCCATCCACTTCTCATGCATTAAAAATAATCTTAATTTCATCCATTAGGTGTTCAATTTCAATTTTAGATTTAAGTCATATTTTCTAATACATCAAGAACCACAAATCGGCCATGAGTGATTAAGTCATAACAAGCATTGAGTATGGAAATTGAATACTAACATGAATTAGAAAAGCATATATAATTAACAACACCAAGTTACACAAGAATTTCTTGTTTTACAATTAATTTTAACGAATAGAAATAACCCTCTAGGATAGAAGACTTAGGTTTCTACAAACTAAAGGAATAAGGAAAATTTTGAAACCAAGAGAGATGTACGCCCTTTCCCAAAGTTATTGACAGCTTCTCCATGCTCTAAATTCGCTCCCTTTTTACATCAACACCTCAAATTAGTGACTAATTTTCCTTCTCAAACAAAAAGAGACAAAATCACCATTGATGAATATTGAAGTCTAAGGAGGAGAAAAGAGAGCTTCTCAACACCTAAAATATCCTTCAAGGGTCTTTCCAAGGTCGAGCCGAGTTGGTCCGAAATGATGATTGAAGGTGAAGTTGATTTCGGCCAAGCTAAAGGTTAATATTTTTATTAAATATTTTTGGAATTATTTTTAAACTAACTCTACAAAAGTATCAATATAACATTTATATAAAATTAACTTTGATTTTGATTTGAAGAGGGACAAAATTGCTTCATTAAAAGAAAACAAGAGTGAATTGAATCAAAATAATAAATATAAGAACTCAATTAAATATAAAACAATGACATATGGTACTAACGTTGACTCATGGTAAGTATTGTTACTGCCACATCACACTAGTAATGTCTAGTGACATGACACTGACTTAGTAGACAATTTAAAAAAAAGCAAAAATATTGAAGTGACATGTGATATATTTGAAAAGACAAAATTACATCTATTTTTTAAAATCGAGATCCAACATAGACAAAAAAAATTGGAAGATCAATTTGAAATATTTTGATAAAAATTAGGACCGGAAATTATTTAAAATTGGATTATAATACTATTTTTAATTCAAAATTTTATAATTTTAAATTTTCTTTTTGTTTATTATTTTTATTATTTATTTTTATTTAATGTATGAGTTTTAATTCATTCAAAGAAGGATCGTTCGCCAGCATGAATGATACATGAATCAATCCATATATAAATGATTGATACTACCCAGAGTTCAAAGAATCTTCGTCTATAATGTTTACCTTTCTAATTTGTATAAAAACTTAAACTCTACTTGGATTCTAACCATAATTACTTGAAGTATTAGTCTGGAATCATTACTTTTCTTTTTTATAAGTAGCAGTTCAATTATTAGAATATATATAGTATTTAAAAAGTTTAAAGTTTTGCAGGTTCAGGGTAAGAGAGAAGACAAAAGAGAAAGGCAAATGAAGGTAGATTTGTCCAAACTTTTCAATCTTCCATTCTCTATCACTAAGCCCATCAAGCTGTTCCAAACAAAAACTGTCCTTGGTGGTGTATGCTGTGCATGTGGAGGCAGAAGAGTAAGTGCAAAATGACCTAAACTCAGCAGCAAAAATCTGAAACAAGACACCTACGTAAGACCAAATGCCCTGTTTTGGGGGAATCAATCAGTAATCGGCCACTCGGTGGAACCAATCATCACTGAGCAGTGTGTACTTTAATATATGCATTATGTGGATTTCTAACAAACATTTCACAGACAGGGACAACACATTTAGCACACTACACAATGCCAAATTCATTGTTTAAGGGCCTAATTTAGTGCAAATTTTGAGGACCTTAATTACTCTTTCTGTCTTTACTCTCTAACCACACCTTTTCTTGGTCTTTTAAACACTACTTATAGGTATAGCTTTTGAAAAATCCCTTCCAGTTAGCACACAATTTTGCAAATTCAGCCATTTACATGTACCTTCTTATCTATGTTTTAATAAGCAGTATACGACGAAATGTTTGAAACTCGATTTGACCGATTAGCTTAGGAAATTAATTCTTTTTGAAACTCGGAACCACCGTTAATAATAACACATTGTTTAAAAATCATAATTGATGGAAAGAGGGATCTTTTAAAGAGTTTATATTGAAAAGATATAATATCAAACTACCAAACATTTACAAAAATATAATATCATTTCTAACTCAAAAATTAAATTTTAACTCAATAATTTTATGAACTTTTTTTTATAAGATATTTAACTTTTCATTTCTATCTAAAATTTAAACTTTCATTTAAATTCTTAACATTGAAGATAAACAATACTTAAAATTTTTAGTTAGAATTATTTGAGATAAATAAAAACATGTATATTATTAGACTACGACTGTTAACTATGATTTTTTAAACTTTTAAATTACTTATTCTTAAAATTTGATGGTTTAATATATCTTTAGGAGTATTTATATTATCTCTCGTTAAAAAATTTTGATATCTATTTAATAAGATGAAAATTTGTAATTTTTAAAAATGTTGAACGATGGAAGTAAAATAAGACTTCTAGAGACCGATACCGAAATGCAACCATTTTGTTATAACTGAAAGCGGATTTAAATGTTTTAAGAAAATATCACCTTACTCTTCTTGATGTCAAATCATTATTTAAAACTCAAATATGTTACATTATTTATTAAATTGTGTAGAGCCTTAAATGAAAACATAATAGTTTAATAATTTATCTACACTATCATATAAAAGAAATGTCCACTCAATGATTTTTTTAATGTTATATTTTAATTAGACAGTTTTACCTTTTAATAAATAAAAAATAATTTATGCATTTAATAAAATAGGCAAATGAATAATTTTTTCTACTTCAAAATAATTAGATAACTTTTTTAAATAATTAATTACATATTTATAAATCAAATAAAATAATAAAAAATTATATTATTTTAAAATTATACAATTTTAATATAAAAAAATTGTAAATTCAAGTATTACAAACATGTAGAAAATGAATGAAAATGGTGACAATTAAGTTTATTATTACATTAAATATGTTTTTAATTCTTAAACCTATGTTTTTATTTTTAAACTTAGAGATAAAATTAGAAATTGTTCGTATAAGAAACTTTGGTATATTTTAGTTTCAAAATTTTAAAATTAAATTAATATAATCTTCTTAATCAAATGGTGTTAGTTTTTTTTATGTGTTAAAAGATCTTCCAATCTTATATTTAAATTAAAACGTATTAGAAAGTAAAAATAACTTAAACTTCAATCTAAAAGGTCACTTGACACGTTAAAAAAATTAAAACTTGATTAAAAGAATTAAATATATATATATATATATATATATATATATATATATATTCATTTTTAAAATTTAAAAACTATATCAAAGTTTTCAAACATTCACAAATTAAAAATTCATATTAAAGTTTAAGACTAAAAACATAATGTTTTTTATACAGTAAAAGACTATTCAAATTAAAATTAGAAGGTGGAATACGATTGGTTGGGGTATGGAAAGAACTTTGCAACCTATTGGACATGACAAAAGTTAAAAGTAGAGTTAAAATGTAATCAATATAATAACTGCTATTGATGATTGATTAAGGTAACATTAATGACTATTAAGAGGTAAATTAATATGTTTGATTATTTTAAATCCTATAAATAAAAGGTTTAATTTCAGGTAAGATACACTTTTCATAATTTGATTACTTTATATCTTAAAAAAAAATATCTAACTTGAACATATAGTTTTTTGTAGGTCAACCATCGAACCCACCAGAGTGAATTTTCGTCCTGGATAAGTGAGCACGTCCCAGTCCAACAGAAACAACATGTTACTGAATAAAAAGTATACCAAATGTATTAGTTTATTAATGCACAAACATATATATATTTTCCAAAACTAAAGGCAACCAAGAATTAACAAATTTTAGAATTTTAATGTAAATGGAGCAGTAGATTGATTAGTGAAAGTGAACATGTGCATATTCTGAAGTGTGTTTAATTGATATAACAGTTACCTATAAAAGATCCATATGTGGGCGAAAGCAGACACGATCGGTTTACGAGAAGAAACAGAAGTCGAGTCAGCGAATGAGCCGCACGAGGGGCTCATTCTGCAGCGGCCGGTGCTATTCTACCTCAGCTTCACCTTCTTCTACTATTTTAATTGGATGCCCACTCCCTTCTGTACTATTTATCTTATTGCCTTTATTTTAAAGCCCATATCACGTGCATGTCCTTTTTCAAGGACCAAATACTGGATTATAGTCACTTCTGTTTCCCTAGAATTTCTTTTGCTTATTTTAACTCATAAAAGAAATTTACTGGTTGTGCCTTGTGCCCTTCAACAAAGTTAATTTTAAGAGATAATAGTTTGCTTCAGTTATTGTGTTACTGTGCAACACTAGAAAACTTTGCCTTGTTAGTTTTTCTATTAAGGGTAGTCGTAGTATGATATCAAATGTCGTTTCAAATTTTGAATCTAACGACCCCTGAGGACATACTGCAGTGTTTGGCAACCAATACAAGATTTGGTGATAATAGCACTATTGCAGCTCCCAAAAATGTCAGGAAAATTTTCTGTTTCGAAAAAACCACTTAGATGGAATCTTTTTGAAGCTAGATTGGTTGAAGTTCTAGCAGAAGTACTTGAAGCATGAAATAAAAGCAGAACTGCTTGATTGGTCGTTTCTAATTTCACAAGATAGCACTTAAGATTCACAAAGTCACATGTAATAGCTTTACTTGTCAATAACTCTCCTCCGAATCCTTGACATGATCTTTGCTAATCAAATTTCTCTTTTGGCGCTTACTCAATTCTCTGTAAAAAATGTCAAAATTCAAAGTTATACAGGGGATTCATGCATGAAGTATTTTACAACGTGTGAGCCTTTACATCAGACCCGGATTTTTACCTTTTCATTTCTCGTTTATTTACAATTTCTTTAATACAGAAGGAATTAATAAATTTTATTGTAAACAGATCAAACTTATTTTTATGGCTTCTGAGCTGTAAACATAATAAAAGCCTGCTGAGTCTTGCTTGAGTAATTAGTAAGACCACACGAAGTGCAAAGGTCTCTGATCTCTTCCTCTGTTAAATAGCCATAGCCTTGTGGAGTCCTCTACAAACAAAAAGACCTTTAAATCAACTTGGTTGGGATTCAAGGTAAACTCGTTAAATTGTGGAACAGATATATCATTCATGGATTTAAGATATAATCAAGAACTCTACGTCACACTAAAAGACAGGCACAATGAACATTCAGCATGCAAAATGTTGACACTTAAGATTATAATAATGACAGGAAATTGAATATAATCACGGCCTGAGTTTACCTCTCTGAAAGGGCGTATAAACCAGGGAGTTGATGAACTGTAACGCAGAAAAGTGCTTCCAACAAAAACTCCACCACTTCTTAGTATCCGGGTGATTTCAGCAACCTATAGAAAGTTTACAGTGTTATCGTAAAAATTAAAATGTTTAAGTAGCGTTAAACAAATATTTGGAAGAACACGCAAATATATGGATAGAATAAAAGTCAACACTACAAAAAATGTACAATCCAATAAGGAAATGAGCGGTTCATGATTATTTAGTTTAAAATTAGGGTAAATGTAAACATAAAAATTTAGGATAAAATTTAGGCTAAGTTATTTTAAGTAGTGCAGACAACTGCAGCATTGGAATTTTGAGGCTGCTGCAGGAACTAATTTTCCATGTTTCTTCTCTTCACATCCAGTACAAGTAATAGAAGATTTGTCAGAGTGTTTGATTCAGCTTATTTTGAAAAAGATAATAATTTATTTTTGCTAGCGAAGAAAGCCTAAGAAAAATAAGCTACTGTTCTCCAAAATAGTTTTCAACCAGTGTGCACTTGAACAATTATCATGTATGTGTTTATACATCTTATGCACATTACAGGCACATATATTGTTGACCAATAAAATCAGAAAGAAAATAACTACCATTAATCCATCTGTGCTCCAATACAAAAATTAGATTCAATTATTCATTCAGGAAAATTTTATAAAGTGGAAATCTATGTCAGCTTTGTCTGATATCTGTCAGGTTCCTCTTTATAATCTCTTTCTATATCTCTGGAGGAAAGAGTCCAGCTTTATGATGCAATACTTTAGTTATTTTATGACATTGAAGCAATAACTGTTCTGTTTAGCAAACATTTTCTCAGAAGAACAAATTAAAAAATGTATTTGTATTATAAGAATATCAGCAAAATATATCAGTTTTAAGCTCACATGGTAATTATGCAAAAGGTTGAACATATTATGAAGTAAAAATGCAGCAAAACAGAATGTAAGAAGTAATAAGTACTTATAATAGCAAAAATAAACTATACATGGAACTTAGGCATGCAGAGAAGACATGCATTTTAAGAGTGAGTGAAAGGACAGTCTTTTTAGGTAGAGAACTGGTTCGTGCTTTTAATTGACATGCGCATACACACAGTGATATCAGTCTGATGAACAGGTTACCCGAACCCAAACAGTTCATCACATAAAGACACAGCACTTACAGCATTGGAGGGAGATGGCCAGCAATGCAAAGCTGCACCAGCATGAACAGCATCAACTGAACCTGATGCGAAGGGAAGCCTAGAAACATCTGCCCTTACGAGAGCAATATTACTGCAAACAACAAAATGAAACACTATTGAGTGCATCTGGGTCTCAAATAGAAAAACAATGAACATTTGATTCTTTAGCTGCATTAAATTCAAAATAGAATACATGAAGAGAAAAAGAATACGTTGTTGAAAGTGTGTCATCTTTCTTAATGAAATCATAACATTGACGAAGCATATTTTCAGAGAAATCTAGTGCAACGACTCCGGAATAGGTTCCAGATTTTACGAATTTTCTGGAAAATAAACCACTGCCACAGCTAACATCAACAAGAAGTCCACCTCTAGCAGATTTAAAGTACTCTTGAGCCATTTTGAACTGCATCATAAAGAATATGTAACAGTCTCAATACGCATTGCATTACTATGAGGTAAGCCAGATGAACAAAACAATATAGAATCTCAGATTCACCCTGTTGCGATATATATGTACATGTATGTGTGTTGGTGCCTATATATATATATATATATATATATATTTAACGCCTGTCATGCAGTTAAAATGTTTCAATACTTGAAAAATGAAATTCATGTTTCATTGAATGCATACCTCTTCATCAGGACCAGGAAAGCCACTTTGCCTGAAATTCTGACGCCATCCTCTTTCATATAAGAAGGAAACAAGGGGACTCCTAATAACAGTTTAAACGCAAATGAAATCATTAGAACTTTCCCAAACAATCGTGGCATGCAGAATTAGACTACAACTAGTGCCACATGTAAAAATAACTCACAAAAATGGAAAAAAGAAAAAAAAAACATGTATCCTCTAAAAAATTTACATGGAAAATTAGACACATAACAAGATATTGTTGATAAACAGGTATGTGCAACATATGATAATAGTGGTAGCAATGACAATAAATTGGAGTCATATCACCAATCATACCTGAAAAGCTCAGTCCGAGCTGGTTGAATTTCAGTGTAATCTTTCAATCCAGCAGTCACAGTCAAATCCAGATACCTGTCCTTGCTAGTGTATGACTTCTTACATATCTTACACATGAAACCAGATCTATAAATTGCTGATCTGAAGCTCAAAAACCATTTGGTTAATCACTACGACCCTGGAATTTAGACACGTAATAACCAAATACACATGCCGCCATGCATAAACCAACTTACAAATTCAGACCAGGAGAGCCTTTTCTTATCAATGGTTCATAACATATTGGGCAAGCAAACACATCTGCTTCAACTGATTGATCCTGCTGTGTATGCAACTCCTGAAGGAAAAATAAAAAAGAAATCCTTCCAACGGGAATTAAACAATCATGTGACACAGTCGTTCCAGCAGAACAAAATAACTCCAAATAGCTCACAGAAGAAAAAAATTGAAATGCTAAACCATGATGATACCATATATATTTATTAAATTGGGTTTCTAAGAAATATATCAATCATAACCAATAAGCTAAATGAAATGAAGGATTATGACAGGTATATAACGAACATGATTGGAAGGCAGAGGGCAAGCGAGTATACCGTTTCCGCTGCAACTGCGGAGATTGCAGGAATGGTTCTCTGGGTTAGGGAGTGGAAGCGACGAGGGCGAAAGTGGGATTTGGAAGAAAAGCGAGGACATTTGAGAAATTGTATTTGATGCAGAGGAGAAGTAGCGACGGACATGACTCTTGCAGAATGAAGAAAGTGGGTGGTAATCACTAGCTTTTGCTTCTTTTTTTCGTTCAGCTTCTTCCAGCAACTTGTTCAATTGCGAGCCAGAAAAATAATAAAATTCGAAACCAGAAAAAAAAAAAGAAAAATACAAGGGGAGAGTTACATTTTTTTCAACACAATTTTTTTGCTAGAACATTGTGCTCTAGTTTATGATGTAAATGATCATCAAATGTTCATTCGACGAAGATGATTTGAGAAAAGGTGGAGGGATAAATTTGAAAAAGATTTAAAAATAAATTGTATGTTATATGTTTAAACAACCGATTTGATAAATATAAAAAATTATTTTAAGAAATAGAAATTAAATATTATTAAAATATTTTTAAAGATAAAACTAATATAAAATCATATTTATTAGTAGAAATTATTTATTTAAATAAAGTTAAATTAAACTTAAGTAAAAAAATAAATAAAAATGGGCGTTGACTGAATGACACCCGTAAAAAAAACAATTAAATTTCACAGTCACTATTTCATGATCAAAAGAAACAAAATGTGTCAATCCTCTTCATGGAAGATAAAATGAAATGATTTTATTAATCTCATATGAATGTACATCTATTTCATTCACCTTCCTCCTAACAACATTTTGATTAGTAAAAGTTTAACGAATAAACCAGTCAACCAATGCAAATCTATAAATAGGATGTAACAAGGAATTGAAAAAAGAACCTTGTGCTCAAAATTGGGATAGAAGAGTGAGGAGGACACTGCCAAACATGGCAGTGTGAGAGGCGACAACACAAGAGACAACGACAACGTGAGAGGTGACGGCGACAACGACAACATGAGAGACTAAGACAATAGCGACAACATGCGAAGGAACGGGAAAACATAACCTACGAAGTAGTGGCTACGACACTCACGCCCTTGGATGCAAAGACAAAGATATCTCACACGAAGATGAAAGTGGAGGACACGAGCAACAGACAACACTTCCCATTGAATTTTAGTTGCATTATCATTTATACTTAGTTTAGGCGATTTTCATGCATTATCGCATTATTTGATGATTTCATCATGTGTTACCTACCTTTCGGATCATACATTTGGGTTTTGTGTCTTTCTTGTAAACAGGAGCTTTTAGGTGTTGAAATCACAATTTGGAGATAGTTGGTGTCAAGAATGAAGCATATCGTATTGTACCGCTATCACCCCGTGTAATCAAGAGCATCATCTGGAACGGACAAGCGTACATTGGCATCACTCTGACCGTCGACCTGGGGTTCTTCTGTGTTCTGAATAACGATCATTTCTCTCTCTCGATTATGTGTGCGCCTTCACCTTAATCTTCACACAATCTAGGTGCGACAATGAATGGATTTGGATCACATGTCGTCCAACCACCACATGATTGATGAAGCTCACTATTGTTGTCCGATTTTTCATAAGTTGAACATTCGTTGGTTGTTATTTTCATTCCACCACAAAAATGAAGAGTAGAGGTTGAGGCAAACTTGAAGAAAAGACGAAATGCGAGTTAATTAAATTTGTAATACTTATATCTATGTTAAATGATTTACAAACATGTCAAAATATTATATATAAACAAGTCAAATTTTGTCAATAAAATTAGCCACCAAAATATATTGGTCGCTAATTTTTTTTTCCATTGATATAGCCACCAAAAAATATTTTAATTAAAATAAAAAAATAACCTATTATAGATTTAAAAATAATGGTTGATATATTATCACATTTGCAACCAAATTAGCACCAATTTTTTGTGAATGGTTTTACATGACATGTTAATTTCTCTTTTGTAACTGTTATATTTAAAGAAGTTATTATAAAGGTTTATGGTAACATAGATGAGAGATATTAGAAAAAAAAAATATAATCGAGGTTTCTATAATTGGAAATGATGATGACTTAAATGAACTTTGAACAATCTAGCATATCAAAGTGATGTCAATGTTGGTGGTATTCGCTATAAAAACCATATAGTCTCCTTTTCCTCTCATGGCATGAGTATTTGGGAACTTTCTCATTAGTAACATTCTCGTATTTCTTTATATTTTAGTGTTCCTAAAAGTATATTATGATATATTAAATACTTAATAAATTTATAATTTTTAATTGAGTTCGTAAAATACTATTATTTTATAGTTTTATAATTTTATACCAACATGTTCTCGTGATAGAGTTACATGATAATTGAAGACAAAATGAGAAGTAAGAAAATGAGAAACTAATTAGGTATTTAGATAAACTTGTAAAGTGTAAAAAATGATAAACTTATGTAATTTTGTTAGGAAAACAATTGATGGAAGCAAATTTACCTTCCATGGAAATGTAGGAACATAGTCCATTAGCAATTTAATAGCATTGCCTCTGACTTACCTTTGCCTTTGTGATACCAATGATCTTATTTTGTTCTTCCTCTTGGCCAATCACAATAGTTAACCTCACACCTAATTCCTAAAATAAGTAACTATGGTGTGGTATTTGATACTGGCATTCAGGCTGATCGCCCTCATTTTCGTAACATCAAGCTAATTATTGATTTAAAATTATAGCTTTTGGTTGACGGTGGATGAGTTGAGTGATGAGGTAATTTACAGGAGTGTACTAATTGGACCAATGAAGATAAGTTGAATGATAATCATGGACATTGGACTTTTGTTGTGAAATATGGTTGCAGAGTTATTGTTTCTGTGATAGTTGTCAACATTTTAGGAACCATGCTGAGAAATGAATTAGCATGAGTGTATGGTCAAACCACATTTCATCAAATTGTAGACATATATGCAAGTAACTTACAATTTGTGCAATTAAAGAGGCATACAAATTGTTATGGAAGAGACGCATCGACCAAACAAATCATATAATCCTTTCAAATTCTCATTTACGAGTAAGGCCAACATAATCAGCGGGACCATAAGGTTCAAACAATTCTGCAAAAATCCCATTCTTCCTTTTGGGATTATGCTTCATGTCTTTGCAAAGTTGATCGTGATAACAAATGCCAAAATTAGCAAAACATGATTTCCCAAAATATGTTCCTGCATATTGCTTCATGTTGTCTTCCCACAGTTTCACCTCCTTCTCCATTGCTCTTATACTTGGCACTTCAATGTTTCCATCCAAGAAATGTGCCACCCATAAGCTTTTCATTTCTGAGGCAAAAATGTTAGATGCACTCTCTGCATATCCTATTATTGCCAACTGTGGAATCCGAGGGTGAATTATTTGTCTGAAGCAGTACAACGTAGGCCATGGTTACATTTTTCATATTACTCAAATAATTCAACATGCCAAAACCAAATCTATTGACAAAGATAAATTAACAAATAATATTTCATACAGATTTTAGACTGACCTGTAGAGAGGAACTGTGGAAGTTGCTGGCCCAAGGATTTGATTTTGGAATATTGGGGATTTGAAGATGTTTTTGATTTTTTCATCACCTTTGTATCCAGTTGCAAAAACGACTATATCAGTTTCTAAGGGTTTGGTTTCTCCATCAATCACCACACCTTCTCTGCAAAAGCTAAAACTTTGTGAATTCTTTATGAGGATGCTTCCTTCCTTCAATTTGTCAAAGAAGTTATCAGGAAATACTCCAAGCAGACATGAGGAGAGGTCATGAAGAAAGCTGTGACTAGGTACCAATCCATACTTCTTCAATGGCAACTTCCATTTCAGAATGTTTTCTAATACTTTAGAAATTCCCCATCTCTGAAAGTTAATAATAAAATTATTGAAATCAGTTTTTGCAGATAACTTGTTTGAAAGATAGTTTTCTCATTTTTCAAGTTTTCTCATTTTTCAAGTAGACACAGAAAAGTTTACCAATGGTGAAAGTAAAGTGACCACAAGGCTAAGAAGGAAGGCTTCTCCTGGCTTGTGAACAAAAAGCTCTGCAAAGCGGTTAAAATATAAGAATCCAACAATAACTCCCCAATTGTTGAAATCTGGAAAAAACCAGTATGCAGTCCTTTGGATAATTGTGCAAGGATGCATGACTCCTGCAAAAGTGATTTGTGGAGTAAAACATCAGAAGGGAAACATTTAGAAGTACTAAACTAGCCAAACTGAATAAATTCTTCTGCAGGTTGAGTAGAAAATTTTGCAACAAAAACAATTTCTCACCATTTGCATTTGCACATTCAGCTGCAAGATCAAGAGCAGATTTATGTGAGCCTATTACTGTGACTCTTTTTCCTTTGATCAATTCAGCAGCAGTGTCATTGTCCAGATTGGAGTAGTCCATGGAGTGCATAACTTTGCCATAAAAAACTTCTGGACCTTGTCCCGGTGGGAATTCAGGAATGTTTGGAAGACCACTGTATTTTCCAATGCAAAGAACAACAAACTCAGCCTTGTGTACCTGTTCATACAAATTTTCAATTCAGTATATCATTAAAACAAAAAAGACACCATTGTAAATGATAAAAAGAATCTAAGAAACATGTCCCTTTTCTCATTCTTTGAACTCAAACTTAACCTCCAAGCCATTCAACAAAATGATGTTTGTGCATACATAGCTAGCAAGAGAATACCAGAATCTGAAGGAGATACTTATTCACAGATCAAGAAATTGACAAATGAAAGCAAGACTTGCTTAGACATACATAGATACCTCTAGGGATAAATTTTTGGTATGTTGCACAGTAATATGCCAAGTTCCTTTGGAGCAAAAGGGTCTGCCATTACCACCCCACAGTTCCCATGACTTCATTTCTTCAGTAGACTCTCCTCCAACATAATCTATATCAATGACTTTGGAGTTGAATCTGATGTAAGGAATGAGGGAAAAATGTTGAGCATAGGAGTTAAGATAATCTAGCATTTGGTTGTGACTTGGATTATCTTCTTTCACTGAAGAAGGCCATGGAAAATCCATGAACCGGTATGCTTGCTTATTGCTTTGGAGCTTGGTGGACTCCATAGTGTGCCTCCATAGCCCTCCAACGCCATCATCAGCTTCAAACACAGTTGGGTTAAATCCAAACTGCAGAAGGTATTTGCAGGCGACAAGGCCACTGGTTCCTGCCCCTATAATTGCAACTCTTCTTTCCATTTCACCTTTGCAG